ACCCTCATGTCAATTTACTCGAAATTATCGTGTGGTGCGGTTTATGAACAAGAGGATTAACTTGGACATTCTACTTCACGCCGATGTAACCTGTGTTTGGATCGATCACAATAGGCTGAATTGGAACCTATAAGGCAATAAACTAAACGAGGTGATAACGAACCTGAGCTTCCACAGCGAGACAAGCGGTGGGGGTTGTGGGAGTGGTAAGAATGGTGGCATTGACCTTTCACACATCATCCTCTGGGGTCTTATCTGGATGTGCTCTTCTCAAAGCCTCGAGGGGTGACACATTGCTCCTGCGTAGAGCCGCGAACTCTTGAGCGCATCTGCAATGAAGAGCACAATGATAGGTGTGGTTGAAGATATGAGATAGGGAAAGAAAGAGAGGAGTATAAGTGAGTTGAGGTTACTACTAACCTTAGGAGGGGCTCTATCAGAGTGAAGGAGGCGGTTCTGTGCCAACCACCATCATTACAGCCATCGAGGAAGCCGACGAGCAGGTCGAGATGAAACCATGCGAGTGACTAAAATAGAAAGACAAGAGGGAAATGGTAGTAGCAGTAGAAGAAGTTGTGGGCTTGACGGAAGGAGGAAAGGAGTGATGGAGTGAGAGGGAGGAGGGAGGAGGGAGGAGGAAGGGAGGGAGGATGGGAATGAGAGAGGGAGCGAATGAGAGTGTGTCTGAATGAGTGTGCGTGTGTGCGTTTGGGAGGAAGTGGGTGGGGTTTGGGGTTTTGGGTTTGGGGTTTACTTGGAGGGATGGGAATGTTGGGAATGGTGGTTCACCTCAATCACTCACTCACTCACTTACTCACTTACTCACCTTTATTTCATATCTCGTGGCTGGTTTGAAAGCCACATTGGTAGGCACAGCCTCGACAAAGTAGGCATAGATGTCCCTTGAGGCACTTGGAAAGAAAACACACAGATCCTCCCTGATATAGGAGGAAATGTTAAAGGAGAGCTCCTCCTTCAACTCTCTTATCAGACAGTTGACGTGTGATTCATCGCTCTCCAACTTCCCACCTGGGAAATGCCACTGTGGGCTATAGAAGCCCCTCCCCAGTAGACAATGCCTCCAATCCCCATCAAAAATGACACCTATGACAATAGGTGTGGAGCGCGTGTGCCTTACGTAGTCGTAGTATCTCAAGACCCACTTGTCGGCAGCTCCGAAGGGCAGCAAGGTGGGAAACATTTCAAAGACTAGTAGGATGAAGAAGAAGAAGAAGAAGAAGAAGAAAAAGAAGATGAAGTAATTTCTAAGGTATGATACTGGTGGGTTGCTGGTGGACATGATCGCTAACAATTTCACTTACCCAATTCGTAGAATTTCTTCTCACTGACCCATATATGTCCACCGTTGTAGGCGAACCGGTCGATGTACTCCCAATACGCCTTGCGAAGCCCTTCAAAGACAGCATTGCAATTCTCTTCAAAATCACGCTTGGAGATTCGAGGGTAGAATGGCGTAGCTTTCCTATAAGTATAATGTGGTGTCAATGGAGGAATGAGCACAACTTATCTCATGATTGCAGTTAATATCCCCTTGCAAACTCCCTGATTCCCCGCATTCGTCTTCAGAGCAGATTGGTAAACAACCGTCTCCAATATAGCAAAACATTCACGTGAGAGAGCAACACAGTTTCCCAATTTTATAGAATTCTTATTTTTGGATCAAGGAAATGCATTAGGTCAGATTTTAATGTTTAAGAATATTATCACAAGGATTCTATGCATGGTGTTATATTTGAGTTGACCTTAAGTATAAATCGTAAGAGCTTTTATTGAATTTCATTTATTAATTACAGGCAAATTTAAATTGTTCAAACTTCAAGGCCTTTCCCATAGAATTTGCCCTTAAAGTCTTTACTTGTGCAAGATGAATCTGATTTCATTTTGCACGATCGAAATGGAATGCATTCACTTTAAATGTGACATATCGACATGCATACTTCTTCAACATGTACAGCCTCAAGAAATGCTATATGAGCGACCAGTTTCAAGATTGTACACCTTAGTATGTTTCT